CCCCTCCACCCTCCCCTACATACAAAGACTTTGTTTTCATTTTTTCCTTTTCTCATATTTTTTCTTGTCCCTTATTTCCTTTCCCCTCCCCTTCCCAATTCCCCTACACCCTTAGCCCTTTTCATCCTATTTCACATTGTCAGTGATACAATTTGGATCTTATTTACTCTTTTAGATTTTCACACCAGAGGACCTATTCAGTATTTACACGTGTGTCTTATTGATCTTAAAGGCAGAGCTCATCTGGGTATCTGATGAATTGAATGCATGGTGGGGCAGAAACAGAAGACTGGAGAATGACTTGTTGGTCTTTGTCTTGACCACAGGGCACAGTGGGGTTGTAGAAAGGAATAACTGGAGAAGGTTCAGAGTTGTGCTTAAGACTTCCAACGGCTAAGATGCCCCTTGGACTTCGACTGGAGCTACTGAGAAGGTAACCTGTGTGCACCGACTAATCAGGAGTTCAGAGCCCACTGCTGGTTTATACACAGCGTTAGACACTCGATGCTGACATACTGCCCACCACTGCATGAAGACCCTGGCTGAAGAGAAGGGGAGTGTTTGCAGCTCATAGGAGGGGAGGAAAGTGGGTATTCTGAAAGCGGGTGTTAAGGCTAATGCACCATTTGTATTTTCCTAAGGTACTGACAGGGCATGACAAACCTTTGAAGCTTCTTCCTTGCGCCCTCTTGAGCTGCCACAGATCTGTCAGTGTGTCAGTGTGTCACAGAGGTGCCCTTCTAGACATAGGGTGAGGACATTTTAATTCTAACCTGAAGGACTGCTTGAAGCCCCAGGTGTTTATCCCTGGGAGGGCCCAAAACAAGGCCACCATGGAGAGGACAGCCTTGTCTTCTAGGCCATAGCAACTCACAGCATCAGAGATAAGGAAACAGACCTGGACAAGAGATCAGCTTTAAGCACCATCATGCTGTTTGCGTGTGTGCGGGGTTGGGCCGTGAACCCTGGGTCTCCCTCGATTCCTACAACATTCTTATTTAGGACTTTGCAGACAGAACCTGACAGTCTCATAAAGAATTGACAATAAAGCATCTTTCACTTGTAGGGTCTTCCTTGGTGAGGCCATCAACTTTGATGCTGCTTCCCTGTAGACACCACCACCAGCCATTATAAGGCTTCGTCCTTTGTGTCACAGACATTTCAGTTATAGCATTTAAAACTTTGAGTTTTTTGAGTAAGAGCTGGTTACACGATGTAATTAAAAGAGACTAACTACTAAATAGAAACGAGAGTCATGTGCAGTGTGTTAAAGGCGATTGGCTTCCATGTAGGTTGAGGGACTCTCCGAAGGTGCTCAGGATGGATTTTGGGGATATGTTTGTAAGATGTAAAGTGCTAAGGTTGGAATACATCCAGGTAATGTCCAAAATACAGGACAGTTGTCACCTAATTTCTGGGTTATAGGGAAAAGCAGAAACAAAACAAAACAAATAGCTCTAAAAGACATTTCTAAGAGTGGTGGGGAATTTTAGTGTGGCCACATGGCAGGTGCAATGAATGTCACTCACATCTTTCCTTAGAGGCAGATATCCGTCTATGCAGTTACCCAGGATAAGTGATACACTCTGAGAGGTAAACTATTCCGGTCTTGGATTTGTCCTTGAACAGTTCAGCAGCAAATAAAACAATCCAAATCTCCCCACTGCACACACAAGAAATGTGGCAAATATACCGACAAATACGAAGTCTAGCGGACAACTCTGTGGATGTTATTTGTACCTTTTTTTTTTCATTTTTTCTGCAAATTTGAAAATGTTTAAGCCAAAAAATTTGAGAAAATGCTTCTGAAGCCACTGCTGCCTACTTATTAAGGACATTTCTTGAATCCACCGAGATGTTGTATGGTTAGTTCCTGTTCACAATTGTGAAGGTCACTAGATGTAATGAGAATGCACACATTCCTATTTTATTAAACAAAGACCCATTGAGGCTATCAGTCAGAAGTGGAGGAAACTTGGATCAATCCTTTAGCTCATAAAGAAACAAAAAGAGGGAACGCGTTGAGATACCTTCTAAGTGGGAGGACAGCCTTTCAAGGTTCCTGCAGTGGACAGAGAGACCTAACACACCCCAAGTTTTTCTTTATCCTCCTTCCTCCGGAAAATGAAGGGGAAGACCAGGGAGAGAATTGAGCAAAAACGTGGGAAAATTAAACCAACAGTAAGGAGAATGGAATGAGGGCCTGAGCAGGCTCAGGAATGATGCATTAAGTAAGCCAAGTGCAGGTGGCATATAGTGCAGCGTGCCTATAATCCTAGTACTCTGGGAAGCTTGAGTTTGAACCCAGCTGAGCACCTGAGATACTTAGTGAGACCCTAAAATAAAAAAATAAATGGGGGCTAGAGATGTAGCTTTGTGTGAAAGGCCTGGATTCAATCCCTGGTATTAGAGAAAAACTAGAATAGGTTTTTAGTGCCTGGAACTTAATGGAAACCAGAACTATAAACAAACAAATGAATCTAAAACATTTAAGTAAGTAGACTTGGCCCTCAAGGTCATGACAGAAGTATTGGACTTACCACACAGAGAAATGCAAAGAAATCTCCTTTTCAAGTCCAGCCCCAAAAGTAAGATGGACACCAGAATGCAAGAGTGAAATGTTAGCTTGAGAGTTTCCAACTGATACCCATTTGAGTATTTAAATATATATATATTTAAATATATATATTTAAATATATATATGCTCCTTTTATTAACCTTTTAAGCTGTTGAATAAAAATTTAATATTAATTTTCAAAGTAAGATATGAAAACATGTCATTCTGGTCTTATTTTCTCATTAAGATTAAGAGACTCACTGGGTAAATCTTGAACTGACATTCCCAGGCTGTGGACAACATATACCAGAGATCGCTGTTCTCCAAAATCACATAATTCCTGAGTGCAGGCAAAGAACACCAGGGAGGAGCAACATATGAATTTGGTTAGGAACTGGAGTTGAAGATTAGGCAGACCCACTAGTGAAGCCCACTGCATGTGCTCAGCACTTCTGTAATCACAAGGCAGCTACTTAATTCTCCCCACTGGATGAGTTTCAGTTTCTGCATCTGAAAAATGAGACACTAATAGTATATTCTTAGAATTTGTGAAGCTTCATTTCCATGCAGGTAATATAATTAGCATAATGTCCAAAATACAGTCAGCTTTCAATAAATCTCAACTATGATGATGTCTTTGCTGTGAGTAAAGAGCAAACAGGCCCGATGGATTATACTAAACTCGCAGTGTTAGACACAGCTCTGCCACAGAATGATCTCGCCAAGACAGAGAGGACCCTCCCTGGCCCCTTAGACACACCTGTGGCTTTCTTCTGGGGCTGTGACCTTAAGCAAATATTTGGCTCTTGACGCAGTTACCCCCCACACCCACACACACCCGCTGAAACCACACACTCTCATTTAGAAGGACTTGAAAATGTCCACGGCCTTGGAATTTGGGGTTAAGTCCTGGGAATGAGGGGAATGAGAATGTAGGACGGAACTGGGGTGGTTGCAGCATGAGAAAAACAGAAGTACGTAATGTTCTGGCCTGCTCAGGAATACTTGGCCCCAAGCACTAGCGAAGGAGGGCAGGTGAGTGGGGAAGGATCCTGGGACTCTTTAGGGTTCATAGTAACCGATGCAGCTGTGCAAGCAGAGATCAAAGATCAAGTCAGATTTCATGCTGCGGGGATGTCAATCTGATCACCTGCAGAGGTCAGAGAAAGGAATTTTCTTCCCCAAAGAACCCCAAGATTGGCTAAATTCCCAACACAGGGGGTTGGCACTGTCTTGAAGGATCACATTACTGGCTACTGCCCAGGAGCAAAGGGACATGGCCTGGGGGTTGACGGGACTGATGGGGCTATTTTATTTTACCCCTGCAGGGAGATGCCAAACAGAACGGAGAAACTCAAGTGAGAGAGAGCCCTGGGACTCAGGCCCCAAGTGTGGCCAGTACTCAAGAACCTGTTTGCCTTTAAGGTCAGTACTTTGACTGCTACCTTTGTAGGCACCTTGGAAGTTCTGTGGGTTTGTATCACACCCCCTTTTGCAACGGGAGTGTATAGCTGATGATGAGGATGAGATGGGACCCTTCTTCTGACAGAAGACGGTGGGGCAGTTGGCTTCAGGGCCATCTGCACTGGTTACAGCCACCCACAGCCCGACACACACAGACACACACACACACAGAGACACACACACACACACACACACACATCAGGTAGCTGAAGGTGGGAAGATCAGGCCTGTGGCCAGGTTTGTGGGTTCTTGTCTTGTGCTGGAGATGATTCCATTTGGTATAAATGAACAACTTGGCATCTCCACCTTATCAAAGAGAAACAGGCAGCCCCCAGTGTAAGCTCGGAAAGGCTCCAGGGACCTATATGAATTTGCAACTTCCACTCAAACTTCTCACTTCGTCTTACCACTCCCTCCTCCCACTTGACAGCATTCCAGACTGGGGGAGCAATTAGGAGGATTTATTGCAATGGTGGGAAGAGAATTTACTCCAATGATAAAGAGGGGACAAAATTTATTTCTTGATAGATTTAGTGGATTGTTTCAAAAGTGTCTCCCAAATGATACTTGCATGGTCTTCATCAGAAGACAACCCTGAGGTTATGTGTAAGGTGCAGGGGTGAGTAGAATGCAATGTACGGTGGAGGGAAGCCAGAGCAGCCAGTAAGGGTGAGCTGGGCTGCTTGGACTGTGGATGTCAATCAAGCTAATGTGCTGGGGGAGCGGATAGGAAGTTTGTCACCCGTTTTAATATCAGAAATTCCTTTACGTGGGTGGTAACTGGGGAACAGCTGCAGGTAGCTGAATCGCAGCCCAAACCCTTCCAGAAACGCTAGTGGGATCTCTGCCAACAACTGAGCAATGGCTTTTCAAGCTGGAATGGAGCAAGTTGCGCTATGTAAGGCGAGGTGGGAGGCGGGGTGGCTGGGGATGGGGAAGCAAGTCTTGAAGCTGGTGCATATTTAACAGGATTAGAACACATGAGTTAGAGACTGAACATTCTCAGCCTGCCTTGTTAAACAGCCAGCCTGCAGGAAGGCCTGACTCGGGGGCCATGGCAGGGAAGGGAGGGAGGTGAAGCACCTGGGCTTCTTCCAGGGGTACATAACAAGGCTGAAGGAGTGATTTGGGGATTCTTTTACCCCTGCACTCTTTCTATGGCTCGGAGCACCCACTTTTCCATTCTAGCCTTAGCTGGCTCCATGAACACACCCAGTTTGTCAATAATGCATTAGGAGCCTTGTCCCTGTTTGACTTGGCCTGGCCGGCCCATCCCTGCCTTGGCCAGCCCTTGGGCGAGGACACGTTTGTGTTTGCCTCCTTGTGCTGGGCAGGTTGGCCCAGCCAGGCCTGAAAGTCTATTTGGTTTTCCAGAGGATGTGTCTCTGAGTCTGGGGTTTTCAGGTGATGATGGTGGAAAGAGAGAAAGGTGATCTGGAACATTCTCCTTCTAAAATGAATCCTGGAAGGCAGGTGATGTTGGGGAGCTGGGATTCCCCTGTGACTTCCTATCACTTCCGGCCTTCAGAGGCCTCTCACCTCCCTGGCCTCTTGCTTCATCATTTTCAGGCAGAGGCTGGAGGTCATTAGAGCCTCTCTTATAACAGTTGTCCATGCCACTGGTCCCAGCTGTGCTGTTACTACTTGGCTGGGGATGCTATGCAGATCATTTAATGAGGTTCAGGGATTACGAATGCAGGAGCACTAGCTGCTCTGGCTCCCGTCCTGGTCCCAACTCTATACACTTCTGTTTCTTCTTCCCAATATCCTAGAAGAACACAGCCCCTTGAAAAATAATGCTTGAAGTCCTTGAGGCTCAGGTACATGAATCAACTTTGTTCATCACTGTTTATTGTACATACTGTCTTCTTCCTGCCCTGTTAAGTGTGAAAGGGAAGGGCTGACTTGCTCATCAGACTGACATGTGTTTGGTTGCTTTTATCCCTGAAGTATACATAGAGGCTGGAGCTCGGAGGATAAGAACCCAAATTCTAGACCTGGATGAACCTGGGTTCAAATTCTAGCCCTGACTTATAAACTGTGCCAACTGTGCTGATCCCTGAGAGGTATTAACGGTTTCTAATCCTCAGCTTTTTCACTGTAGAAATTGGTCAAAAATAAAAGAGCAAATTAAATGTTTGGTAAATGGGTCTCCACTTCCCACACCTGGGACAGAGTTGCAGCAGTTGTTACTTTGAGTAATAACCAACATGCAGCAAGTTTTTGGTGTGGGTCAGGTGCTATGGTTATCATTTTACATGATTCATTCCTTTGCTGTCCTTAGCCCAGCACACAGGTCAGCTGTGTGATCTTCCTTCTTTCAGGCAATGATTTCCCCAGGCCTCCTCCCCAAGTGAGCAGTCAAGCCCAGGACTTCGGTTAGATTGAGAAAGTCCTGGACAACCCTAGTTTTGGACAACCCAAGGGGATTTTTGAACCCCAGGGAGGGGTGGAGCTCCTGCTTCCGGATGCGGGGTGGGGGGCTGCTCAGGAATCTGGGGAAGCAGGGACCATTCTGACAGCCCTGGGGAGCCAGGAGTGAACAGTGTGTGTCCTGCCGGCTGTGTAAACACAGTAACCAAATACACTGCTGGTTTCCAGGGTCCACCAGATGGCAATAAGGACAGTGGGTGATGCGGTTTCTATTTCTTCCCCTCCCTTCTTATTTTCATCTGCGCCTCGTGCCTCAGGGGAGGACAGAACCCGAGACTCCCAGGAAGCTCTGTGATGGCCCTAAATCTTTGTGGATTTGTGCCCCTCGCGCTGGCCCTCAGGACTTGGCTCAGTGTCACCTTGGCCGGCACAGCACACGCCCTTCCCTGTCCTCTTTTCTTCCACTGGACTCACTACCTGACATCTCACTTTTAAAAAACACTCTTCCTTTGTTTTTTAATCTTCGGACTCCCTACCCTTTCACTAGAAAATTGGTTCCCAGAAGGGAAGAAGTGTCATTTGGTAAACGACTTTATCTCAGAGCCTATCGTGGTGACTGCCTTTCTTTGAATGAAATCATGTGCATGAGTCTCTCCTGGGCCAGGCAGAGCATGAAGGTGCCACATCCTGCTGAACTATTTTGGGGAATCTTGGGGGTATCGAATGTGTTGCTAGCCCTTTCTTAGGAGATCTGAGCGATGCATGTCAAGACAGGGATCTTCATACTCTTTTCTCAGAGGAGATTTCCTTGTTCAAACTTGAGGATCAGTGAATACGCTGGAGTACCATAAGTCCCACCACTGCGCCCGTTGGGGCAGCCCCTCAGTGACCCCAGCTGTTTCTAAAAATTGACACAGGTTCTGCCCCAGCACATCCTAGCAGCCCCTAGCTTTCCCTGTCCTCCAGTGTTTTTTCTTTGTAGAAGCTGGAGCTGCAGAGTGATCCTCCAGCTTCCTCCAGCTTCAGTGCAGCCCCCAGCTGCTGGATGCACCAACCCAGGCTCTTCCCCCTGCAATGCTTTGTCCACTTTCCCTCTCATGAAATTTAAAAATTTTTATTGTATGCGTATTGTGTTTACTGTCCTGGGGTGGTGAGAGGAGGCAACAACTTCCTAGTGGTCCTCGACATTAAGCTATAGCCAGTATGCCTGGCTCTGTTTGTGCTCTGCGTGGGTTCATCAAAGAAAGTAGAGCAGAGAGAAGACAGGGAGGAGGAGAGGAGGAAGAGAAGAGGAAAGGAGAGCCCGGAAGAAGAGACCTGCAGGAGAGGGCAGGCGGTGGTAGGGCCAATGATGGTTTGTGTGCACTGGCTAGGCTGCAGGGCAGACACAGCCTGAGCTAATCTGAGGGGCCCCGATCTCCCTACTAGTCTACGCATTGCTAGAGAAATAACAGTTGAAACCAAAAGTGATTTCCAGACCACTGTTAGCCTCTTGCATTTTTCATTCATTGATGATGCCCAGCAGCTCTTCATGTAGGGTGTGGTAACTTTGCAAATTTCTCTGCCATTGAGGTGCAGGCTTCAGTTATATAATGAACGTGATAAAAACAAACAAACAAACAAACAAACAAACCCACAAGTGGGCCTGGAATTTAGCTCAGTGGTTCAGCCACCTGCCTCACAAGAGCAAAGTCCAGAGTTCCAGCCCTGGTACAAAAAAACAAAAAACAAAAACAAAAACAAAAAAAAACCCCAAAACAAGTGTCAAGGTTTTTTTTCCACGCTTGGCAGAAAAATTCTTCCCTTCCCTTCCCTTCTCTCCTTTCCTCCACTGCTCTCCTCTCCCCTTCCCTCATCTTCTCTTTTCTTCCTCTCCTTCCTTTCCTTTCCTCCTTCTTCCTCTCTCTTTTATTTTCCCTCTCTCAATTTCACAGTGTCTCTATTTCTCTTTTTTGAACAAATAAGAGATCTCAGGGCTGAGGCATTACAAGCAGACAAGCAAAGAGTGTTTCTTCTCTTTTTCATGGATTTTTTTTTATTTCATGATAGAAAACCCAACATCAAAGAATTTTCCAATGCTACTAACACTGAGTGTCCCTTAAATGTGATTGTGATTTGATTTTCTGCTCTTGGACTGTGAAAAGATTGAGCAAAGTCACAAGAAGTGCACATTCTGACTTTTACAAAGCCTGTCAGTGGTGGCAGATGTAGGGTGGTGAGGAATGGGTGGTAGTTGGGTAAGGGATAGCTTTTCAGAGTATGTGTAGCAGTCAAAAGGACAAGGGTCTTGTAGACCTAGAAAACATCACCCATGAAGGTACTGAGGGTGGAGAGAGCATAGCCTATTTGGGGAACTCATGGTCCGGAAGGGGTTGGCATTCAGAGCAGCTGAGGCTGAGAAGTGAATGTGGGTTGGGAGAGGAAGCTATAGAAGCAACCTTGGCTCCCTGGGGTTGTCACATTTCCAGGATGGGCTCATTCTGTGGATAACTGCAAAGTTCAGTTGAAGCAGCCAAATAATGCAGTCAGGTCTGCGTTTGAGAACATAAGTCTTGACTTGCAGTGGATGGACCACAGAATGCACAAGG